AGAATACGCTAACTACCATTTGCATAGCTTAAAAAGAAGAAATATTTGCAACTAACAAAGAGAATATTTGACCTTTCTAGAAATAATAGATAAGGTATAATTTATAGCACAATTCCATGAAATATAGAAATGCTACATATAGGCTAATTTTACATTAAACTATTGCTAGGAAAACTGCAAACAGAGGTCAATCTTTGACAGATCTAAAAATACAACCATGTGGATCAAATTTTCCAGTCACAGCTTCATCTCTGTAGATTTTCTTTCATTTGTAAAAATCTTGCTGTTTCTGCAGAGGACCTGATTAGACTGTCCACTTTAGTGCTGAGCAATGTATTTCTGAAAATGAGCTTTAGCCTACAACAATGCAGTCTATTTGCCGTGTGTTTTTTTAATCTATCCAAGACCAGCTCTTAGGCCTTACATTTCAGATTTGACAATTTGCCTTCGGCATAAACTTTCAGTGGCAGCAACTTGAATTTTCACATGAATAAATAGTATTCCAGTTAAGAACTGTATCTATATAGCATGTCATTGGAACATACATTTTTAAGCCTCTTCTAATGATTAACATACATTTCCATGCATTGCTTTCACTGAATTTTGGCTTGTGCCTCAGTAAAAGGGAATAATATTACCCACTTTCACCTCAACTCATATAGTAATGTTTTACAACAACTGAGCTAGAAGAATATGAAACAGATCTTGGAATATTTTACAGAAATCTCTTAGACAAGCTCGTTTTATCAAGGACTCAGTTTTTCACTATGAATATGAAAAGACTTTGTTTTTCCTAAGTTTTGTTTTCCCAGTTTAGCAATTTAATTCTCTAGTAATGCTAAGACACTATTGGAAAAAGGCCTTGACTAAATAATATATGTTTTGTCCCATATCATTAAACAATGAAATGTCTGAAATAAGTATATCTTCTAGATCATTGAAGCTTATTCCATTAAGTGGGCTTAATTTTTTATGTTAAAAATTTGTTCATGTTTTGGTAGAATTTTCCCTAAAAATTTCTAATTCAATGGACGCCAAATGTAATAGGTGCTCATTGTAGTGTCTCCCTGGCCTATAATTTCTAAATCTGGGCATGGCCTTAATTTACAGATCGGTCCCTCAGAGACCATTTTGATTCTTTGCAAACTGATTGGCTCACTGTTCAACACTTAAAGTAAATTAAGTAATTCGAGTCCTTATCCATGATTTTCAAATAGGACTAAGACAAGGTGTAGTCTCTGTAATTTAGAGTGATGGTAGTAGATGCAAGAAGTAATGCCAAAATACTGCTGGCAGCCGTGTTATCCACAGCATGGAGGAAGCCAGTCTTCAGCAGGAGAAGATAACGCTGAGAGAAGCCACAGTAAAAAGAAGATGGAAAGAAAGATTCCTGGGCAAGACCAGTCATTTTGTCCACTTTTCTCTGAGGCTTAGCTATACCTCTGTCCTTCGTGAGGTTGGAAAAACAGACTTGGATGTTTCCTTTATTGTCTTTGAATTTCTGTCACTTGAAACCAAACAATCCTGATGCCATTATCACATATCTATATTGTCCACAGATGATTCAGGCAAACTTCTGAACTCCATCACAGAACACATTGAAGGACTTTTATGCGAACCTCAATCAATGTAATTTTCTGAAGCAATGGGAACAAAGGAAATTCTTCCTGAACAATGGCAATGGCATTGATCTTCCTAGGCATAGTATACTGAACACACCTCCATATTTTCTTTCTTTCTTTTTTTTTTTAAAGATTTATTTATTTGAGAGAAAGCATGTGCACAGGGAGGGGGAGGGGCAGTGGGAGCGGGTGAGAGAGAATCTCAAGCAGACTCCCCAGTGATCGTGGAGCCCCACACGGGGCTCTATCCCAAGACCCTGAGATCATGACCTGAACTGAAATCAAGAGTCATATGCTTTCCTTTCTTGATTAAAATTCTTCAGAGAGTAGGGGTAGAGGGTACATACCTCTATATCATAAAAGCCATCTATGAAAAACCCACAGCGAGTATCATTCTCAATGGAGAAAAACAGAACTTTTCCCCTAAGGTCAAGAACACGACAGCGATGTCCACTATTACCACTGCTATTCGGCATAGTACTAAAAGTCCTAGCCTCAGCAATCAGACAACAAAAAGAAATAAAAGACATCTGAATCGGCAAAGAAGAAGTCAAACTCTCACTCCTTGCAGATGATATGATACTTTATGTGGAAAACCCAAAAGACTCCACCCCAAACTGCTAGAACTCATACAGGAATTCAGTCAAGTGGCAGGATATAAAATCAATGCACAAAAATCAGTTGCATTTCTATACACCAACAACAAGACAGAAGAAAGAAGTTAAGGAGTCAATCCCATTTACAATTACACCCAAAACCATAAGCTACCTAGGAATAAATCTAACCAAAGAGGCAAAGAATCTGTTCTCAGAAAACTATAGAATACTCATGAAAGAAATTGAGGAAGACACAAAGAAATGGAAAAACGTTCCATGCTCATGGATTGGAAGAACAAATATTGTGAAAATGTCTATGTTACCTAGAGCAATCTACACATTTAATGCAATCCCTAAAAAAATAACATCAATTTTTTTCAAAGAAATGGAATAATCCTAAAATTTGTATGGAACCAGAAAAGACCCTGAGTAGCCAGAGGAATGTTGAAAAAGAAAAGCAAAGCTGGTGGCATCACAATTCTGGACCTCAAGCTCTATTACAAAGCTGTAATCATCAAGACAGTATGGTACTGGCACAAAAACAGACATATAGATGAATGGAACAGAAAAGAGAACCCAGAAATGGACCCTCAACTCTATGGTCCACTAATCTTCGACAAAACAGGAAAGAATGTCCAGTGGAAAAAAGACAGTCTCTTCAACAAATGGTCCTGGGAAAATTGGACAGCCACATGCAGAAGAATGAAACTGGACCATTTCCTTACCCTACATACAAAAATAGACTCAAAATGGATGAAAGACCTAAATGTGAGACAGGAGTCCCTCAAAATCCTAGAGGAGAACATAGGCAGCAACCTCTTTGACCTCAGCTGCAGCAACTTCTTCCTAGAAACAATCCCAAAGGCAAGGGAAGCAAGGGCAAAAATGAACCATTGGGACTTCATCAGGATAAAAAGCTTTTGCACAGCAAAGGAAACAGTCAACAAAGCCAAGAGACAACTAACAGAATGGGAGAAGATATTTGCAAATGACATATCAGATAAAGGGCTAGTATCCAAAATCTATAAAGAACTCATCAAACTCAACACCCAAAGAACAAAGAATCCAATCAAGAAATGGGCAGAAGACATGAACAGACATTTTTCCAAAGAAGACATCCAAATGGCCAACAGACACATGAAAAAGTGCTCAACACCACTCGGCATCAGGGAAATCCAAATCAAAACCTCAATGAGATACCACCTCACACCAGTCAGAATGGCTAAAATTAATAAGTCAGGAAACAACAGATGTTGGCAAGGATGCAGAGAAAGGGGAACCCTCCTACACTGTTGGTGGGAATGCAAGCTGGTGCAGCCACTCTGGAAAACAGTATGGAGGTTCTTCAAAAAGTTGAAAATAGTGCTACCATACGACCCAGCAATTGCACTACTGGGTATTTACCCCAAAGATAAATGTGGTGATCTGAAGGGGCACATGCACCCCAATGTTTATAGCAGCAATGTCCACAATAGCCAAACTATGGAAAGAGCCCAGATGTCCATTGACAGAGGAATGGATAAAGAAGATGTGGTATATATACAATGGAATATTATGCAGCCATAAAAAAAATATGAAATCTTGCCATTTGCAACAACGTGGATGGAACTAGAGGGTATTATACTAAGCGAAATAAGTCAATCAGAGAAAGACAAGTATCATATGATCTCACTGATATGAAGAATTTGAGAAACAAGACAAGGATCATAGGAGAAGGGAGGGGAAAAATGAAACAAGACGAAACCAGAGAGGGAGACAAACCATAAGAGACTCTTAATCTCAGGGAACAAACTGAGGGTTGCTGGAGTGGTGGGGGGTGGGAGGGATGGGGTGGCTGGGTGATAGACATTGGGGAGGCTATGTACTACGGTGAGTGCTGTGAATTGTGTAAGACTGATAAATCACAGACCTGTACCCCTGAAACAAATAATACATTATATGTTAATGAAAAAAATAAAAATAAACAGAGAAAGTTTAAAAAAAATAAAATAAGGAAAAAAGAGTCATATACTTAACCGACTGAGCCACCCAGGTGCCCCTACACCTCCATATTTTCTTGATGATGTGGAGCTTGTATACTAAAATGAACTTTAGTTAGTGTACTCTTATAATTCAGTGACACATTCAAGAGCTTTTTGAAATAGGAGAGATTGTTTATATGCACACTAAATGGCCCCAGACAGCTGTGCTTTGTAAGGTATTAAATCTGATTTACAGAAAGTCTCTGTCATTCCTTCACTGACTTATTGTTGGCTCTCATTTCCTGCTGTTAGAAAGAGGTGGTTTGAGAAACAACACAGCCATTGGAAGAGGGATCTAGGTTGGAGAGAATGTGTACTCTTATTTAGCAGCTGTTTGACCTTGGGTGGTTTCTTTCAATGCCTGAACTTATCTCTCTTCTTACAAAAGGAGAGATTGGCTTAATAGTAACCTTTTTCTAAAGAATAAATCAGATAATATATGTAAAACACATATTAAGAATTTTATAATGTTAGGTCATTTCTGGCAACCACTTCTCCCCACTTCTAATTTACTACTTCTAACCTGTCCTGGGCTAGGAATACAAATCAGAAGATATGGAACCTGAAGGTTTGGTTGTGATTAAAGATGACTCTTTAAAATCAGTTTCAAGATTAAATAAAATTTATTGGTTAAAACCACTTAATTATATTGAGTTCTCTATGCTTAGACAAATGCTTCCCCACCTGACCCCAAAGGATACCTATTTGTTCATTCTACCCTTGGACAGCTATGATTATTAGAAAGTTCTACTTACGGGGCGCCTGGGTGGCTCAGTCGTTAAGCGTCTGCCTTCGGCTCGGTTCGTGGTCTCGGGGTCCTGGGATCGAGCCCCACATCGGGCTCCCTGCTCCGCGGGAGGCCTGCTTCTCCCTCTCCCACTCCCCCTGCTTGTGTTCCCTCTCTCGTTGTGTTTCTCTCTGTCAAATAAATAAATAAAATCTTTAAAAAAAAAAAAAGAAAGTTCTACTTACATGGAGATCACTGCACACTAGAATTGGTTCCACCTATCACTGCCATACAGGTGGAGTTGTGTGTATTTCTATATAATGATTATTCAAACATTTGAAGGATACTGTCTTATCCTCAAACCTTCTTTAATGTAGATTAGAAATGTCTACTCATTTTCTTTTGTCTTCTTTAATCATCTTCTCAGTATTATCCAGTTTATCACTTTTGAACTAATGTTCAGAATGTGTTTCCTGAATCATTTGGAATAGAATCATATTTCTCTCTGGGCAGCCTCAGGTCTCACTTTTGATAACTAAATTAATCAGGTAGCTCTCAAACAGAGAGAAGGTTGTATTCTGGATGAGATCATTATTAGTGAACCTAAGCTAGAGCTTAGTGTGCTTCCCATGGATCGTTTAGGAGATTTTGTTCACTATCAATAAAAACTTGATCTCCTTTAATTTTTCCACAAATATATATGTACACACCAATTATAAAATCCCTTATCTTATCCAGTTTTGAAACTAGATATTTGTTTTTTTATGTGATTTTCCACGATTACCACATGGTTTTGTCATCTCAGTTATAAGTGGTGTTAGAGTACATTGAGCTGGACTTACTTCAGACATGTAGGATGTGATGTGTTCCTATAATCATTATTATCATTTTGATCTATGCTGATCTATTCAATTCTTATTCTATATATTTCAGTCTGCTTTCTCTATGTCATTTACAAAAATTACTCCAAGTAAAGATCCAGTATTTTCTTGACTGCCTTTATTTCATTATCAGTGAAAACTAAAAAACTAGATTTGATACCTTTTCTGTCTGTGTGTATGTTTGCTTTAAGGGTCAGGTCATTTAGGGCTTTAACCCAAATGACCAGTGTGAGGTTTTAGGCCAACTGTAAAAGTTTAGAGGGAACAGTCCCCACAAGAGTCCACCTTCAGGTCTGATCATTTGCTAGAACTCACTGAAAGTGATTATACTCATGGTAATGATTTATTACAGGGAGAGGATATAGATTTAAAATCAACCAAGGGAAGGAGGGCATAGGGCAGAGTCCAGGAAAGGTGCCAAACGTGGAGCTTGCATTGTCTTCTTCTTAGATGCATTACTTTTCTGGCATTAATGCTTGACAATATACATGCATTAATGACACATGGTATATTTCCAGCCAGGGAAGCTCACTAGACAGAAGATCTGCCAGGGTCTTGATCTTGGACTTTCCAGACTCCAGAACTGTGAGGAATAAATGTTTGTTGTTTAGGCTATCCAGTATATGGCATTCTGTTATAGTAGTCCAAGCTGACTAATATATTTATCATTTTTCTCTATAGAATATGATACATAATAGGTACTCAATAAATATTATTGGAATAAATAATATACACAGAAAACTTCCTGTTTTTACTAGGATATTACTACTTTTTTTTTTTATGTTGAGCTTTCCTTATGTGCCTTTATAATTACTTAGAAACTCTGAGCTCATTTCACATGAAACTGGATTTCCATCTTCTCCTGTGGAGTCAGAATCCCAGAGTCCTGACTAGCAACAATAGCTGAAGCTGATGAGTAGCCATCCCTTTCAGACTGGACAACACCTCCAAGATCATTACATGGTATTTTCTGTTATCTATTCACTTTGTGGTGGTCATTTCTTCCTGATAAGAATGGGTTAGTGACTCCTCCTATGAGAAGAGATTCTGACCTATTTTCAGGCTTCAGAGATAGCCTCACTGGAGTAATAACCAATCATAGTCCATTTAGAATAACAAAATGGGAAAAGGAAATGAATTTTTAAAAAGACATAAAATTGTGCTTAAGAATAAACTCAATAATATATTGAGAGTATCTATATAAATGTAAAATTTTATTGAGAAACTGGGTTAGGTTGATTTTATATAGATATATGTCATGTTCCTGAATGCAAATATTATAAGGATGTGAGTGTCCCCAGCTAAATGAACAAATTTAAAACAATTCCAATAAAATGGGTCCCAAAACTCCTATGGAAGAATAAATAAGTGAAAAGAAGCAACATAAAAGTTATAAAAGAATAAGTAACGGAGCTGTCAAAATTAGATGTCACATTATTAAAGCTATAATAATGACTCTGGCATGGTACTAGTCTAAGGACAGATAAATTAATGGAAGGGAGTAAAAAACTGAGAAAGTGACCTAACACATGTTCAACACTTTACTCAACCCAACTGTTTCCGGTCAGTGAATATCATATGATGAAAAGTTGAAATTCATGCCATATTTGAATGAACATAAACATACTATTTTGTATATAAGTCAAATAAGATGGATGAATAAGTAGCCCAAGATGGCCAGAGAGAACATGTGCTTACTAACATGATAAAGAATCCATTTTAGTCAATGGGGAGGAATGGCTTAATCAATGGGAAGGAGGAATGGCATAATTTGTTGATTAACTAGAAAATATAAACCTTTATGTCCACCTCACAATATTCATTTAAAAACTGCAGATGGATTCAAGTGTTAAAAAAATATAGTTTTAAACTCATAAAATCAGTAAAAAAAAGTATAGATGACAAACTCTGATTTCTTGGTAGAAACAAAAGGTAAACAATCAAAAATAGAAATGTTAATAAATTCAAAAGCATAAATATGAAAAGCTATTCTCATAAAATAAAATAGCAATGGTAAACTAGTAAAAATAATTGAAAAATAAAGTAAAAATGAAGAGCAACTGTTCTTATTTATGAAGAATTGTATAAATTAGTGTGGTACATTATAAAAGGAAAATTGTAAAAAGAAAATAACAAGCAATTCACTATATAAGTTACAAAAAGTATAAGAAAATGTCCACATCACGAAATATCGAAGAAATGCATATTAAAATATTAATTTTAAAAAGACTTTTCACATGCAACACTGGCAAAGATGAAAAAATGATACTATTCAGTATTGGCAAGGGTGGTGGGAAATGAGGACAGTCATATATTGTTTTTAGAAATGTAAGATAACATAGCTTTTTAGAGGGTAATATGGATATGATGTAACAAAAGCCTTACAAATATTCACACATTTGAGCCAGCAAATTCACTTGGAGGAATGTATTCTAAGAAAACAATTTGAGATATTAAAAAAGATTTATGCTCATTTTGTTCTCTGCAACATTGTTTATGCTGCCATAAAAATATTCAGCAATAGAAGTATGGTTAAATAAATTATGGTCAGTGAGCAATTCAATATAACCATGAGAAAGTGAGTTGAACAAGTAGAGTATAACTAAAGTTTTATAAATAAATACATCTAGTTGACCCTTTTTTTTTAAAGATTTTATTTATTTATTTGAGAGAGAATGAGAGAGAGAGAGAGAGAGAGAGGGCATGAGAGGGAGAGGGTCAGAGGGAGAAGCTGGCTCCCTGCTTAGCAGGGAGCCTGATGCAGGACTTGATCCCAGGACTCCAGGATCATGACCTGAGCTGAAGGCAGTCTCTTAACCAACTGAGCCACCCAGGAGCCCCTCCAGTTGACCCTTGAACACCACAGGGGCTAGGGGTGGCTGACCCCTGTACGGTCCAAAATCCACGTGTAACTTTTCACTCCCCAAAAACTTAAGCTCTAATAGCCTACTGTTGACTGGAAACCTTACCAATAACATAAACAGTTGATTAACATGTGTTTTGTATGTATATGCATTATACACTGTATTCTTATAATAAAGTAAGCTAGAGAAAAGCAAGTGTTATTAAGAAAATCAAAAAGAAGAGAAAATACATTACAGTACCGTACTATGTTTATTGAAAAGATCTGCATATAAGTAGATCCACACAGTTCACACCTGCGTTGTTCAAAGGTTAATTGTGTTACTAGCAGAAAATATACAAAATATTAACAGTAATATGTAGAATTTTTCTACTTTAGCATATTTTTCAAATTTTTACATTTTTTCTATTATTTATTTTTAACCGTAACAAATAATACATAAATAAATACGTTCTGATGCAGAAAATCACCCCAAAAAACCAATGAAGTGAAATTACCCTACATCCTCACTTAATCCCATTTGTTTCTCTAGAAGTAACTATGTATTTGTGTGTGTGTGTGTGTGTGTGTATCTCTATAGACTTTTTATAAGAAATATGTGTTATTATTGCAATCAGAGGTAAAGGCTGTTTTAGTGAGTGTTGATCCAGACAGGAGAAAATAATCTTTCTCCTTTACTCATAGGTCTAAATATTAAAGACAAGAACTATGACAAACTATATAATAATATAGGGAAAGATATTTTGTATTATACTCAGATAAATCCCTAGCTTTGACTATCCCCATCTTGCCACTCCTTAAAATAGACCTTCTTGAATGTCATTAAACATTCTCAGAATCTACTGAAATGTTCTAGCAGAGGTAGAGAACATAACATTTCCAACAATGACCATACACTTTATCAGGGAGAAGATGTATTCTCAATCTGAGGGCTTTTGCCTTGAACACAAGAAACTTTACATAAATTATTACTCATTTTTAAACAGAAGAAACGTATTGCATGCAAACTGAGACCTCACTCTCACCTTGTAAGAAGCACAAGCAATGGACAGACAGTTGCAGATCAATGATGGATTATCTTGAGAGCTGTCTGACCCAACTGCACCACAGGCACTTACTAACACCACATGTTCACAAGGTTTTTTTGTAAATTAAAGAATAAGTGAGAAATGAGGGGATTACTATAATGAAAGGGCAACCAACGATGCTTTTAAATTGACCCTTAAAAATGGCTACCTCGCCACAGGGAGTATTTGAACTATGCGCTCAAAGGCGAAGCACATGACTCAGCATTTAATTAAAAAAAAATAATGTGATTAACTCGAATGTTTTTGATAGTGAGAGGAGAAAGCAGAATCACTTACTTGTTTAACCTTTATTAGTTGAGTGTTTTCTATGGAAAATGCGTCATGTTAGGTTCTGGAGATCTGGTGAGGAAGATGGAAAG